TATTCAGTATCAATAAATACAACTTACCTCATTAAAACGTTGAACCATTTTGCCCTTTTGAATATCCCAAATAAAAGCACCATTTCGGGAAGTTGCTCCAGCAATACAATTTAAATCACCTTAGGAAACAATTTATCACACATTATACTAAATATTTGCCACAAATGTAATTCTTATCAAAAATATAATTTTTGAAAATGAAAGAATTGAGATTTGAAAAGGATTTCTTTCTAAAATTTTTTTGTAATGGAAATGATCAAAGGTATGCAAATACAGAGAATAATAAAATGAAGGTATCCATCATATGGCTTCAACAATTATCAAAATATGGCCAATCTTGTTTTGTCCATAGCTCCTGTTGGATATGTGATAAATGACTATAAACACTAAAAAAAAAAAAAAAAAAAAGAGTCCTCACCATATTTCTAGTATTTCCATTCTGCTCTCCTTTTGGGGTTCTTAAATTACTGGGGACATGTTTCCATATTTATTTGTACTTTTTTTTCTTCTCCTGTGGTATCTACTCCAAAATACAGAGGAAATTATGCAATTACCTATATCCTACTCTATTTCCATCCTTGTCAATCTTCATTAATCTTTTAAATTTCATCCCCACTTACCTAAAAATCATGATTCATCAGTAATCACCTAGCAGAAATGATTGAATTTCCATTTTATAACATTTTTACTTTCTTGATACAAATTCTCAATGTAGAAAGTAAAAGAATGCTTTAAGTATGATTAGGTCTTCTGTGTTACGATTTGGAAAAATGGTTTTTATAGTCAAAATTTTTATTTAAGTTTTAGGTTTGAGATACACACTTTTTGTAGGAACAAAAGTGTTCAACTAGTACGAGCTACAGTGCAATGTTACTGTACTGGCCAGTCCAATTCCTATATCGCTAGCCAAGGTAACCCCCTGTGAAGATGTATATTGCAGTGATAAAGAGAACAGGCTCAGGTATTCTCTGCTTAAAGGAAGAAACACTCTCATTGAGAGTTTTAAGTAAAATCTTTTTCCAGATTTCTCCTCACTGTAGGAGATGAGGGATACATTAAAGCAGTGGTCTTTAACCTTTTCTATGACATGGATCTCTCTGAAGATCTGATTACTATGATACTCTTTGACAGATATAGGAATATATACACATACACTAAAAATTATTCATGAAATTCCAAGAGATCCCCAAACTTTCTGAAGGCATCTAAAACCCTGAAAAGGCCCATAAATTCAAGGTTAAGAATTACTGTGTATAAAGAAATAATTTTATATATAAGGATAAGCTATATTCTTGTCATAGGT